GAGAAATGAACAAAATGACAGATTCTGATTTGATGAAAGGAAGAAGAAGCTGGGAACACCTTCCAGATGTCCCAGAATAGCGCTGGTTACCAGTGGAGTGTTCCTGAAGGGGTGTGCACAAGAGATTCCTGTAGCAGGTAGGATGCAGGGGTAGGTGGCCCCTCAGACACTTTCCAAGGCTGAGGCCATGAGTAGCAAGGATTGGGGTAAACAGGAATGCTGGGGGCGCCCGTGAAGCTGGATTGAGCCAACAAGCGTGTTGGCTCCAAACACTGAGTTATGAAAACAGAAAATCACATTAGCTTAAATTGACCTCCCCTCCCCAACAAACTTATCTGATGGGAGAAACAGCTTATAATTACGGTGGTAGCCACACACCAGAGTGTGGGCTGGCTGGCCAGCAGGACTTGCTGTCACCACACACAAACATCACGCAAGACAGAAGGCCAGGATGCCAGGTGTGGAGCAACAGATGTTTTAGAGATAGACCAGAAAAGGGAGCTTTTCTTAAAAGCTTATTATTGGGAAATCACAATGCTAAATTCTAATTTCTTGGTGGAGAGGTTATGTGGGTCAGCTCGTGCACTGCCTCGTGAATTTGTTTTTCTGGCTAAGTCAGCCTGCCAGGACCAGAAAGCTAATTCACGTGTGCTGTCATTCAATGTAGCTGTGAGGGCAGAGACGGTAAGGGGTGAGTTTTGAAAGCATGGGGGATAGAGCCAGACTGCCTGGATTCAGAGGCTGTCCTGCAGCTTAGGAGCTGTGTGGCTTAGGGTAAGTGGCTCAACCTCTCTGTGGTAAGGATTCTACTTCTTTGAAGTAGAGAAAATCATAGTATTTAAAATGATTTTGAGGATTAAACACTTAGAACCCTGGTCTTAGTGTAAGTAACTTAGAATAGGCCCTAGTGCTTAGGAAGTCCTATATTTATTTTATTTTTTTAAGTTGATTTATTTATTTTGGGGGGCAGGTGAGAGCAGGGAGGGACAGAGAGAGAGGAAGAGAGAGAGAGTCCCAAGCGGGCTCTGCCCTGTCAATGCAGAGCTGACACAGGGGCTCGAACCCAAGAACCATGAGATCATGAACTGAGCCTAAGAGTTGAACACTTAACTGACTGAGCCACCCAAGCGCTTCATATTTTATTATATGTTTATTATTATTTATCATTCTACTTTTGCAAGCAGAATGGTGGAAAGGGAAAAATCTTAAGAATGAATCAGAGCTTAGTTCAATTCCTGCTTTCTGAGCCCTTGGCTCACAAATGTAAAAAGCGGACAAAATTCCCTCCCCTGCAGGGTTGGAGTGATAAATTAAATATATTTACATGTCCAGTGCAATGCGTGGCACACAGAAATATTCAAGAAATCCTGGTTCCTTTCCCCTCTCCCTGTCTCAGTGTGTTTCATCAATGTGCTAGGCACCAAGAGGTAGGGACACAAACATGAATGAGGTGCAGTCTCTGTCCTTAAAGGGCTCACGTCCAGAAGGAAAACCTGGACACAAAGTGACAAGGTGCTATTGCAAGGGCTATGATGGATCCGATATCTTAGGAGGCGATGCTTAAGCTGGGGTTTGAAGAAAGAGTAGACTTTTTCAAGCTGGTGGACGTATTGGTCTAGGAGGGTGTGGGGGTAGGGAGCTCATTGCATACCTCTGGATTTCTGTGCTAAGACCCCGGGAGCCTATGCAGGATACCTCTTCTCTCTCTGGAAAAACAACCCATCTGGAGAATTAACAGGAAAACCCATGGTACTCGGGCAACCAAAAGCCGCATGTGTACATTTCAAAGGGGAAACTTCCAGGAAAGGAAAAGCCCCCGGCAGTTGAACATATCAGAAACATAAAACATCCTAAAGGTTTCTCTAACTTCATGCCAGCCTAGAGTTAGGACTCTGAAAGATGTTATTTATAATAATATAATATGTTATAATCTGCCCTGGCTGTGTCTTTAGCAACTGCACTTTGCTCACAAGGTGGCCCCACCTTAGCTGGGACATGTGTCACTGCGGCAACTGTCAGGATCTCCAGGACCAGGCTGGGAGCACCAGTGTGTGAGCCTCTGTTCCAAGCCCCACAAAACTGGCAGATTCAGAATCCTCCCCCTAAAGCTAGCAACAGACGGCTCCAAGGAACCAAATTCAAAACAGAAATTTAGCAAAACCCACTTTGCTAGCTTTTTCCACTGGTGAATGAGAAGGGCTTCCAGGTGTGTGTGTGGTGAGTGCATGTTGTTTGTGTGTGCATATATGTGTGGGGGTGAGTGAAGGTGACTGTGGCTCAGATGTCCTCTTCCCCACAGACCAGATGCAGCAGGTTACCAGACCGACAGGATGTGCCTCCCAGGTCAGTGAGGAGGGAAAACTGGCCTAGCACGTACCATTTGGATGCTCGGAGGCTCATTCAACAGATCTGTGGGGAGCACCCTTAGTAAGTCATCACAAAGTGGGTGAAATTCCTCTCCAGGCCCTAACCCCAAACCCCTCTCCTACCTTTGGGGTCCTTTCACCCCATCCCACAACCCCCATCAAAATCCACTCTGGAAAATGTCTGGAAAATGCCTTTATCCCATGGAATGATGGGGCTGAAGTGTCACCTCTCTCAGTGAGGCCCCAGGGGTCGATCCCGAGGTATGGGTGGAGACCCATTGTACAACACACATTGCCAGGCAGCTTCAGGAGCAGGATCCGAGCCCTGCCCTCAGGGTGCCTGGCCTAGACAGTGCAGACTGTAAGGTCATGGGGTGCAGTGCAGAGAGCCAGGGCTTTGGGGACCCGGGTGCAGAATCCTAATCCACCCCTTGCAGGCTGTATTACCTTGGCCAAGTACTTGGCCTCCTCAGTCTCACCTGTGAGGTTGGCAGTACACTATGTGCTTCAAGGCTAAATAAAAATGTCCAAACATGCCCAAGGTTTGGTGGAAGCCCCTGAGTCTGCCCCAGAGGGAAGAGCGACATCATCAGTCAACTGGCTGTAGGATCCCAGGTGTAAGAATGGCAGAGGTGGAGCCTCTGTCCTAGGATGTCACCTCCTCCCTCCTGCCCTCCTAGGAAAGCTGTGCCTGCTGAGGGCTCCCAGCAGGTAGCGTGGGGGGGTGGCACACCTGGGAAGTTCCTAAGAGGCAGGGGACAGGGCTCTTCCGCAAAGCCCACCTTGCCAGAGGCCCAGTCACTACTTCCACACCTCAATGCACATACTACACACCACACACCCAGACCCACGTGCAAAACACACCAACCACACACCACATCCAGAAACTGTTATGCATCTGCACGTCAACACACCCATTAATACCCACCACCCAAGTGCACACACGTACACACACACACAGGACACACACACCATCACAGACTTGCTGTCCTACACACTCAGACAACCTATGTTGTTATCTGCAAATAAGCTCACATGCATGAGATAGGCATGAGATAAGCAGAAATACCCGTTCACACACACACACACACGCGCACACACCACGGCCTCCCCATACTCGGTGCATGACACCTCCCTCACGCTGTGTACTTGCTCACATGCCCACACTACACAGCAGTTCACTCTGTACAACCATCTCCCAGTCTGAAGTGCTCGCACACATGGCCCCGCATAAACACAACGGCTCTGCCCCACATCTCTCCCACGAGCCCGCTCACCCGGGCACATCTGTGCAGTGCACCCCCCACCCGGCCAACTCCAGCAAGAGGCTTCCTGCTCGGTGTGCAGCGGCCACAGTGGCCAGGAATTAAAATGCAGCGAGGAGGAGCCGGGCGCGTCAGCACCGCGTCTCCAGGAGCGCACAGCGCTCGCTGCCGCCGCCCCGCCCGCCCGGAGCCGTGGGGCCAGCGAGCTGAGGAGCAGGTGCTCGAAGCCCAGCCGCGCCAGCGTCGCGCGGCCGCTGCCCAAGTTCGCCCGGAGCCCCGAGGAGGGCCGGGCAACCGGGAGAGGAGCGCAGTCGGCGCCGCCGCCGCCGCCGCGGCGGGCTTGGAGTCTCGAGAGAAGGGGGTGCGGAACAGCGAGTCCGGGTCACCCAGCTGAGAGGTGCAGCCGGGGCTCCGCAGTCCCCAGCTCCTGGCACTGCCGGGGCAGGGAGAAGAACAGGCAGGGGACAGCGAAGCCCGGCTTTTCTTGAGACTCGAGGCACCGCGGAGAGTCGAGGGGAGAAGCCACACTTTCCTCTGGCCAGCTGCCCGGAAGGGGCCCAGCAGCAAGCAGCCTCCCGCAGGACTCCGGAGAAGACCCCATCCCCGAGCGAGAGCGGGCGCGTCGCACGCAGGGCTCCGGCGCGGGACTTAAGGGGACCCTTCGAGGGTCTCGGCAGAGCGCAGCCCGAGGAGCAGCGAGCGGGTCTCGCCGCGAGGGGAAAGAGCGCAGCAGCGGGCCGGGCGACCCCTCGTCCCGGTACACACCCACCCCACCCGCCGCGCCCGAGCCGCGGTGCGCCTCTGGGGGCGCTCGTTCCCCGGCGCCTTCTCTCCCGGGTCCCAGCACCGCTGGGCTACCGGCTGGGCTGGCGGGGCCCTTGGGGATGCCCAAATCAGGCATGGTGGCCGAGTGGCTGCTCTCCCCGGACCAGCGTAAAAGCTGGGGTTAGGCGGAGCAGGGGGGACTCGGCGTAGGGTCCCCCGAGGTCCAGAACGAGGGGAGGCGGGCGCAGCGCCCGGGCACCGGAGAGGCGGCGCCCGGCGGGGCCCCTCTAGAGGTAGCGGCCGGGCCAGGCACTCTCCAGGAAGACTAGGGGCCCGGAGAGCCCGGGAGGCGCTCGGGAGAGGCCAGAGCCAGGGGCGGCGGGCCGAGGCAGCGCTCAGTCCCGGGCGGGCGCCCGCGGAGGCGGCGGCGGCGGCGGCGCCGGGCGGGCATGCCGCGCCACCGGAGCTCCTTTCGGGCGCACGCTTTCCTGGCGCGGGCTGCGCGCGGCGGCTGCTGCTGCTGCTTCCACTGCTGCTGCGGACTCCCATGGCGGCTCCTCCCGGCCGGGGCCGCCGCCGCTGCAGCCAGCCGCGGGCTGAATGAATGAGCCGGAGCGGCGGAGCCCGGCTGCCCCCGGCCGCGCTCACCGGCCCGGGACGCTTCCGCATGGCCCGCGAGGAGCCGGCGCCGGCAGCGGTGGCGGCGGCCGGGCAGCCCGGGGGCGACAGGGGCGGCGAACGCGAGCGGGCGCTGCAGGGGCCGGGGGTCGCCCGCAGGGGGCGGCCGTCGCTGAGCCGCGCTAAACTGCACGGGCTGCGGCACATGTGCGCCGGGCGCACGGCGGCGGGGGGCTCCTTCCAGCGGCGGGCGCTGTGGGTGCTGGCCTTCTGCACGTCCCTCGGCTTGCTGCTGTCCTGGTCCTCGAACCGCCTGCTCTACTGGCTCAGCTTCCCGTCGCACACGCGGGTGCACCGCGAGTGGAGCCGCCAGCTGCCCTTCCCCGCCGTCACCGTGTGCAACAACAACCCCCTGCGCTTCCCGCGCCTCTCCAAGGGGGACCTCTACTACGCCGGCCACTGGCTCGGGCTGCTGCTGCCCAACCGCACCGCACGCCCGCTGGTCAGCGAGCTGCTGCGGGGCGACGAGCCGCGCCGCCAGTGGTTCCGCAAGCTGGCCGACTTCCGCCTCTTCCTGCCGCCGCGCCACTTCGAGGGCATCAGCGCCGCCTTCATGGACCGCCTGGGCCACCAGCTCGAGGACATGCTGCTCTCCTGCAAGTACCGGGGCGAGCTCTGCGGGCCGCACAACTTCTCCTCCGTGAGTTGCCCTCCGCGCGCACCCGCTCCCTCTGCTCCCCCACGCTCCGGAGTCAGTAGGCCCTCCCCACCCCCACCCCCAGGGCAGGACACCAGGCCGCTGACGGTGACATCATCCAGGACGCCCAGGCGGAACCCGCTTTTCGGTGCCCTGAGCCATGTCCTCCAGGTTGAGAGAAGTTGGACACCACTGTAGGAGGGGTGCCCTGGCTCGCCGGTCCCCGGCCTCTCTCCTTCCAGTGCCAGACCCCAAACCCGCAACTCTGCTCTTTGTGGTCCCCTCTGTGAGTGCTAGCCCGCTTTGACCCGGTCCTCACCCCCAGGTCCACAGGAATGCAGGCAGCTGCCCTGTGTCCGCGGTGAAGGATGGGGAGAGAGAGAAGCACGTCTTACTTGTGGGCTTGTCTTTGGGGAAACCAACAGGAAGCTTGTTAAAAATGGGCCATCAGCAGAGCTGCACTGCTCTAAGCAGCTTAGCCTGAGTTCCAGAGCACTAGGAATCTGGAGGGGAGGAGGGGGAACTTTGGAGGAAACGCCCAGGATGTTAAACACAACAAAGCTGCAGCTTGTTAGGTGGGGGAGTGAGCAGCCCCTTCTGATACTTTTTCAAAGCTCTGTCTTAACCATCCAAGCGACTTGAGCGGTGGTGGGCATCAGTGGGGCCCTGGAACCCAGGAGTTGAGCATGGGTCCTGGTCTAGAGGAGCCACCACCCCACCGTGGGGAGAGCAGCCTAGTAGAGAGATATCGATTCGAACAGCAGGGGCCAGGAGAAGCTGTGCTCCTGGTTTGTAAACCATTTGCTGTGCTGGTTCCCCCACGCTGTGGGTCTGGATAATGCAGCTGTCAGACAGAAGGTATCTGGCTCGCTCGGTCTGCCGTGGAGGAGTTCTGGTGCCAAACCCCAGTGTGGGACAAGCCTGTCCAGTCATTCGTGTGTAAATGCCCCTTAGGTGGGTTTGGGTTTTTCCTCTAGTGCAGGGAAGGTTAGCTGTGTGTTTATTTGCAATGCTCTGCTGCGGATTTTACCAGCCCCTTTGCCTCACTCCTGACAGTCTTGGGTCTGACAAAGCTTTTCCGGTGATGGTATAGACATGCCGCCACTCCAACAGGTGTTGGCATGGATGCCAGGCAAGCCAGGCCTCTGATTGGCTAATTGGGGTAGTCTCTGTCTAGGATGGGGACCCTGGCTTCAGTCTTGTACTCCTTATTTTGCTTTATGTGGGGCATCCCTGACTTCTCCACTTCCAAAACATTTCTTATTTTCTGGGCTTTTCAGCATGCCTTTGAAGAATCCCTACCTAGTGGGTTCCCCTGCTCCAGCAAGCAGGAGATGCTGTTAATGTGTGCTTCTAAGAGACTCCTTTCAGACTCAAACACAATTCTGAGTTCTACAGAGAGGAAGGACAGAGAGTAGCGATGCCGTGTTTATTGTTTGGCTGACCACTAACTAGCAGCCCCTAAAGTTAGACTGAAGTTCAGTGTTCCATTTAGTTATCAGCAAGCTCTGGGTCCTGCTTCACATCGTAAAACATGGCCCACCAGATAGAATCGTGTATCTCTGATGGTGGCTGTGCAAAGTGTGCAGAATTGCATGCTCACAGCCAGTATTCACTCTTGACACTCACGCAACCTTTGTGTTAGCAGTGAGTTTTATTCCCATTTTAAAGAAAAGTGAGGCTCCTCAACGCTATCCAACAAAGCTCAGAGCCAGCCAAGTTGAAAGGCTAACTTTGCAGACCATCTGATGCATTACACAGAAGCCACATGTCACCTTCCTCTTGGAGCTGGGGCCTCTCTTCTATTCGGAGACCCCTGGGCAGGACTCTTGCCCTCCCCAACTCCTACCAGCTCCTATCCCTCCTTGCCTTGGAGCATGGCCGGGAGACTGGAAAGTGGAGCCACCCCAGGGGGTGCGGGTGGTCATAGCTTTGGCCACATGTTATAGGACCCTAACATGTAACAGGAACTTGCTGCCTGTAAGCATACAGCACCTCCAGGAGCCACCTGAGCTCAGGCTCCCTAGCAGGTATGGCCATGAGTTGAAGCAATCAGGCCCCCTTCCCCCTGGGGTACACCCTTCTCTTACTTGTGTGTACCCTGCCTTCCTTTATCAGAAAAGCCTGCAGGCACACACACACACACACACACACACACACTCAAAAGATACACCTCCATTCCCCAAGTATGTGTTCCTGGGGACTCAAGTGACCCCTAGTGGCTTCCTATTATGACCCTGCCCCAGGACTTTCCAGTCCCTTAACAGTTCAGACTTTTTCCCAAGTACCTCACACTTAAAGGCTGCACCCCTCTATCCATGGAAATCAGAAGCTGTTTCAGGGAAGCATCAAATACAGAGCTGGCCCATCAGGGGTGTTTTCCTCTAACTACATACAGCACCCTGACTTGGGCCTTTGTCATCTTTGATGGAGTGGCACTACAGTGTAGTGGTTGAGAGCATGAAGCACAAGCTGCATTGTGGTTCAAATCCTGAACCTCCCACTCACTGTGTGCCTTCAGACAAGTGGCTTTACCTCTCTGTTCTTTAGTTTTCATCTCCATTTAGTGGAGGTACCAAAATACCATATTTGTTGTGTGTAGATGGCTGCATGTATGGATGGGTGGACAGGTAGACAGACAGAAGTGTAAATGCATGTATATACAGAGGTAAGAGCTCTGAAAATTGTGCTGGCCCCCATAAAAATGTCACCTTGAAATGACATCAGCTTCCTAACAGGTCTGTTGGCCTTTACCTCATTGGGCTCTCCCCTTTGCACCCATCCCATGCACTAGCCAGAGTAGTCTTCATAAAGATCCCTTCAAAACATATCATCCCACTTCTTAAAACCCCTCAGTGGATCCCCTGTCCTTAGGTGCTGCACCTGTGTCCTTCCTTACCTCTCGCCACAGTGTCTCTGGCACCACATACCTAAGCTCTTCCAACAGGCTTCCAACAGCTAGACCACCACTCCCCAGCCCTCTCTGCCCTGCTCTCCACCTTCCTCTGCTGCTCTAAGTGTCCCTCCCCCCCTCCCCCCCCCCCCCCCCCCCCCCCCCCCCCCCCCCCCCCCCCCCCCCCCGCCCCAACACACAGACTGCTTTGTCTGCCCCAGGACACTACTCATCCTTTAGCATCCAGCCCTGGGGGCTTTTCCTACTTTGGAGCCTGTCTTGACTTCCTCACTCTGCTCCTCTCATCACCAAGCAACTGAAGTCTTTCTCTAGAATTCTGCCCCTTTACCACCCCATTTAGGTGTCAGCCCTCATACCTACTGGTCTGTGTCTGTCTCCCCCCTCCAGACCCCGGCAGGAGTCATGTCTGACTCCCCTGATCTCTCCAGCACCCAGCACAGAGCCCAACACATAGTGAGTGCTGAGGAAAGGTCTGGGGAAAGAATTACTTCACCAGGTACCCCCAGGACTTCTTTTTTTTTTTTTTTTTTAATTTATTTCTAGGAGAGAGAAAGACAACGTGAGCAGGGGAGGGTCAGAGAGAGAGGGAGACACAGACTCCAAAACAGGCTCCGGGCTCTGAGCTGGCAGTCAGCACAGAGCCCAACGCGGGGCTCGAACCCACGAACCGCGAGATCATGACCCAAGCGAAAGTCGGACACCCAACCGACTAAGCCACCCAGGTGCCCCCCTCCCCCCAGGACTTCTTATTGTCCTGGATGACCTGCCCCAAGACTCTTGGCCTAATGTCTCCCGGGAACACCAGTGGAAGGCATTTCTAATAAGGAAATACTCTGGCGGTTTCTGGGTGTTTATTCCTTTTTGGGTTGAAGCGGGAGAGAGAGGAGACAGCATGCCAAGCACCCCAGTCCCTGTGCTTTCCAAGCCCTAAGAGGACCAGTGCAACAGGTAGACTGGGGCTTCAGGGGAAGCTTTTGGGGGGGGGGTGCCGGCTGCCCCCAAAGCTTCATGCCATCTAGCTGGTGTCATCTCTGGCAATAAACTTGGCAAGGGAGAGGTGTATTGTGTATTGTGGAGAGGTGTCTCTTGGCTTCTATTCTCCAGACCCATTCGGGATGTGTTTATTTGCAGCTCCTCTGTTTGTTGCAGCTGCGCGAGGGTTAATCACTTGGCCACCAGATGAAACAGCCCCTGCTTCTGAATGCCCATTTGCTTCCCTGGCACTGGCCACGGACCTCGGGCTCAGCATCCCCTGACCCTTCTGGGTTGTCCTGGGGATGGAGGTGAGCGGCCTTCCCAGTGAGAGGACAGGACACAGCACCACCAGGCCGAGCTCTCTGGGACTGCGGCCTGTGGAGAGGAACTGAGGGGTTAGGAGCAGGGGCTGAAGGAGGCCGTTGAGGGTCTGCTGCATGAAGAACCAGGAGCAGTGGACCCTCTCTGGGAGGAGACACGGTTCAGGGGAAAGTGTTGGGCAGACCTAGCATAGACCTCTGGCGCTGCCCCTTCCTAGCTGTGTGCCTGGGCTGGGTACTCTCACTTCACTCTCACACCTCTAGCGGTGATGCCTGCATCACACTGGCGGGCTGAAGACAACATGTGTGCAGATGCTGGCTGGCCGGCTCTGGCTTAGCAGCAGGTGCTCAATATTTGAGAGCTATTGTATCATCTGGATAAAGAGATTGGCACAGTTATCTGGGAGTAGCAGTTATTAATTATTCTTGAGGCAATTATCATATCTTATCATGACCGCTTATCTGAGTGGGGAGATACGCTCATTTCCTGGTTCATTCATTCAATCACCCAGCGTCTGTTGAGTGTCAACTGTGCGTCTGTTGAGTGTCAACTACCTGCTGGGGGTATAGAACTAAATAAAGCTCGCGGTGTGTCCTCCATTCATTATTGTTGAGGGAAGAGATGTGTGAACAGGTGCCAGGAAGGAGTGCAGAGCTGCTAGGGGGGCTCAGGGGTGTACCCTGGTCAGACTGGGGACCCCTCTGATGGCTTCTTGGAGGTGGTGACATCTGATCTGAGTCTTGAAAGATCAGTAGAAGTTCCAAGGTGGAGAAGGAAAGAGAGAGGGGATTTC